CTGAAGGGCTGGAGAGCGGTACAATAATGAGTGTCTGCAGGCAACAGTGAAGCTTGGTGGAGGTTCCTTGCAAGTTTGGGGGTGCATTTCTGCAAATGGAGTTGGAGATTTGGTCAGGATCAGTGGTGTCCTCAAAGCTGAGAAATACAGGCAGATACTTATCCATCATGCCTTACCATCAGGGAGGTGTGTGATTGGCCCCAAATTTATTCTGCAGCAAGACAATGACCCCAAGCATACAGCCAATGTCATGAAGAACTATCTTCAGCGTAAAGAACAACAAGGAGTCCTGGAAGTGATGGTTTGGCTCCCACAGAGCCCTGATCTCAACATCATCAAGTCTGTCTGGGATTACATGAAGAGACAGAAGGATTTGAGGCAGCCTACATCCACAGGAGAACTGTGGTTAGTTCTCCAAGATGTTTGGAACAATCTACCTACTACAAATGGGAGATTTTAATTTCTTCAGCATCTCTTGTGAGATGAACTCTGCCAAGCATCATCCTTACATGACATTTTTGACTTGTCTTGCCAATAGCTTTCTCTTTCAGAGGATGGAGAAAGGTCTGTTCTCTCACTTTGCATTTTGTAAATTGATAAACAGAAACAATTACAATATATAGTTTTGAAAGCATTCTTACTTTACAGCATTTTTTCACACCTGCCTAAAACTTTGCACCATACTGTATAAGTCTATTTAGACAATCTTGTTTATCAATGATGCATATATATATCCATGTAGGCTGCTTTAATGAAGAGTGGCAGCACATCTTCCAAATAATTGTTACAATGTCTGTAATCCTAATTTATATTAATCTCTTTTGGGAAGACATAACATTTGCTTACCAGATAGTGAGCATCATACAGATGATACAAAGCCTTCATGGTGAATCTGGTGAAGAGCTCAGTTATCTTCCAAGCAGATTTTGTATTCTGATAGAAACAGCGCAGTAAAATCTTTTCCTGTCACAAAAGCAGACAAACAAGATATAATGCTTATCCTCTTGATGCCTTTCTCCATCCTCTGAAAGAGAAAGCTATTGGCAAGACAAGTCAAAAATGTCATGTAAGGATGATGCTTGGCAGAGTTCATCTCACAAGAGATGCTGAAGAAATTAAAATCTCCCATTTGTAGTTTGCCCTTGGAAGACATCATCCACATCTAAAGTTCAATTCATGCTAAGAGTTCAACTCATCTTGTTTATTTCTGATGCGCTGAGCAATACAGGGAGTCTCTGGGTTAAGAACACCCAGTTTACAGATGACCCATATTAACAATGGAGCCTATTGTAGCAAAATTCAATACACAATGATTTGAATTAAATTCACAATAGTTCAAATTAATTACACAATACTACTTACACAGTATTATACAATAATACTGTTCCAGCTTACATACACTTAAGGATAGACCTTGGGAACAGAACTCTTTCTTAAACTGGGGACTACCTGTAATGTATAGACCACGAAGTCATAAACTTTATGAGCTGATGTTCTTTCTCATGTTTCATTCACTGGCTTTAGTGGATGGAGTATTCATTCATTCATTCACTCATTCATTCATTCACATTTCTAAAGCCTCCAACTTCTTGAGAAATCTGGGTGGCATACGTATTTCAAACCAACAGAAAAGCAGCAGACAGCAAAAACGGAAAATGGTCATCCTGGTGGAACAGACAGGGAGCTCCCATTTCATCTATTCAAAAGTCTGGGGGAAGAGTCAGATCGTAAAGGCTCATTTAAAGGAGAGCAGGGTTAGGTTGTTCAAATCTCTAGGATAATGCTGTTCCAGAGGGTAGGCACTGTGACACAGAAGGCGTGCTTCCTGGGTCCCATCCAATGGCATGGTTTAATGGATGGGTCATGGAGCATGCTGACTCTGTTACAGAAACATAGATTTGGAAGAGATCTCAGAGGTCATCAAGTCCAACCCCCAGCACACTACAGGATTCACTACACCATCCCTGATAGATGACAATCCACCCTGTTTGAAAACCTCCAGTAAAGGGAAAGAACCCACTCCATACAGTAATCTATTCCACTGATTGACAGCTCTGTAAAAATGTTCTTCCTAATGTCTAATCTGTATAAATAGCACCTTGAATTGTAACTGGAAGTCTATTGGTAACCAGTATAATTTGCAAAGCAGAGATGTTACGTAGGCATATCATGGCATGCCCATAACTTTTTTACAATTAAAAAAAATTAAATGGTGAAATTTAAAAAATCAAAACAAACAAAAGCCTATATCCCTATCCAGACTCTCACATCCTCTAGTTACTGAGACAAGACTTTGACAGCATCATTCTGTTAGCCACACAACTGAGTGCCATCAGCTGTGTTGACAGATGACTTCATTGCAGCCCTCCTATCTCAGCTCCATCAGAGGTCGTTAACAAATGCGATCAATGCCATCCAGTGCTATGCTGCAGCTGAAACCTGACTCAAAAAAGTCCAGATAATCTGTTATCATCAGGGCCCTTTGAAGCTGCAGACTGATCATATTCTCAATAATCTTCCCCAGAAAGGGGAGGGTGGAGAATGAACAAAAACTGTCCAAGATTTAGTTAGTCCAGTGATAGTCTCTTGAAGAAGGGGTGCATCAGTGCTTCCTTCAAGGCATGCAGAATGACCCACTCCCTCACAGAAGTCACCACTGTATGGAGCTGACAGCTGTTCAAGGTAGGGAAGGTAAAAGAACCACACAGATGCCAGAAGTGTTCTTTACTGTTGTAGGGTACAATAACAGAATCTTGAAAGCCTATCAGAGTTTTTCTCTGCCTCATCTTATATCAAACAAAATCAAGGCAGGATTATTTTGAATTATTACTCAGGGCTGAGTAATGTTTTCTGAAGCTCCCCCTTAATGGTTCATTATTCCACCCCCATTCCCAAAGCCAGGTCTATATTCCTTCACAGAACCCAACCATGTCACCTCCCAGGAGGCCTTCACCAATCATGAGGGATATGGATCTAACAATCAGGTTGCTGTATTGTCCCAAGGATCCTGTCTACTTCTTCAGGAATTTCCAGATCACACTGAGACTGTGCCTCAGTCACCTTGATTGGATCTGCCTGAAGTCCAACTCTGAGTGGATCCAAGCAATTTTACCAGTCAGATGACTAGAATATTCTTCAGAGTGGCCCTGTAGATTTTCCTGGGGCCCATCCCTCCCTGGTAGGGAATGGATCACCTTAAAAAGGGCTGTTGGCCAGCTATCTGCAGATGTGGTAAGAGTGGAAAAATAGATATGTTTTTTGTTGCTGTTATTGCCACCGTATAATCTCTAATTTGGGCTTTTACATGATCAGTCAGATCACTCTGTCTTCAACAGTGTCCTGATGTCTCTTCCATCATTTTATTCCCTGAGCTCCACAGAAGACCAGGGAGCCCACCATGATCAATCAACAGAGAGGGGCTGCATAGAAGCAATCCATTCCAAGGTCCTCATCGCAGCCACACTGTTCAGGGTTAGGGTAGTATAGCAGGAATAAACCCTACTGTTCCCTACAGCCCAACCTCAACCATAGGATATCATATCTGTGATGCAGAGCCTCCGTAAGCCATTAGGGCTTCCTAGAGGAATTCTTCTTAATTCTCTTTGCCATGCGTGACTGCGGACTGGCTTCACACATTGATTTAAGCCAGTGGCTCTGAAACTTTGCGTCACAACCTCCTGGGGGGTTATGAGCCATGGGGGGGAGGGCATTTCTTTTGAATGTATATGAAATAAGATAATGTAATTTTATAAATTATTAGTCCCATTCTGGGAGGAAAAATATTTTCACTATGTACCACTAATACTGAAATATTAAAATAGTCTTACATTTTAATCCATTTTACAGTCACAATGAAATTCACAGCCTATATATGTACAGATGTAATTGAATCAAACTGTTTCCTTTTTAAAATTAGTTTAAATAATGCTTTTCAACCTATTTAGGCTACATAACTGAAAGATTACAAAATGTATGCTAAACATAATGCATTCATATTAAAATATTTTGTTTTATACATGTTCATAAGAGAAAGCAATGTTTAAAAGACAATCTGAGATCATGCCAATTTTTCATAGAGAAATATGGAATGTTATCCATCTTATTATCAACAAGATTAGAACATTATGAATGTTCACAGTAGTAGTTCTGCTACTTAGAGAAAGAGTTTGTGCCCAATTTCTGTAATTAATTAGACGTACATAGATTCCTGGAAGTTTTGGTCGGCCACAGCCAACACCAAAGCTGGTTATTCCTACCAGATAATACTTTGTGAACTCTTGGAAATAGCACATCAATGGTCCACCACTGTCACCCTAAAAAACGAAGGAGTCAGTTTGAATCTTGCTCAGAACATACTTCCATTTTAAGATGCTGAGAGCCTATTTTTACATGAAATGTTAAAATAAAATATTGTTTCTAAGAAAATATGAAAAACTTGAATTAATAAAAAGAATGAATTAATCTTGTGAATCATTAAAAGTGCAATACTACAAAATTCAATGGGGCTTCCTCTTGGGTAAGTGGTGCAGGTTTGCACATTACAAAATTTCTTTATGGATATTTTGGGGATTCCAGTTCCAGTATAAATATGCTTTCTCTGAAAGTCAAGCTACAGATCTAGAAATGCATAAGAATATTCATCCACTGTTAAGTTTTATGATTATTATATATGCAGATGGTGAAAAGAACCATTTTCAATCTCTCTTTCAGAAGTGTTTGTTTTGTATGGAAACAAGGTAGTTGAAATATTCTAAGCAAAGTGAGAAATATTAGTTGAACTATATTATGACACTCCTAGGGCCTCTTTTACTACAGGAAGCGTCAACTAATTTTATCACCTAGATTTGCAACTTCTTTCCTTGACATGTCAAATGGGGCCAATCAGATGTTAGGCAAGGAATTTAAAAATGGAATTATCTCAGTTTTACCTGACAACTATCCACATCTCCACTTTCAGAGCCAGCACAAAGCATATTCCATGTTATTGCTCCAGCATACCAATCGTATCTGTTACAGATATATTGTGGAATAACAACAACCTGTGCTTCTTGTAATATATATTTGCTGTGACCTGTAATGAAAACATAAAATAATTTCCATGTTATTGCTCCAGCATACCAATCGTATCTGTTACAGATATATTGTGGAATAACAACAACCTGTGCTTCTTGTAATATATATTTGCTGTGACCTGTAATGAAAACATAAAATAATGCTACAAGTATGCTTTATGCTTCTGTTTTTTAAATTATAACTCAATAAGCAAAATTGCTGTCTACTGACAGCTATTTACTTTCTGAATAGCAGCCATATTTGGAGAGACAAGAATGAGTTTTGTTTTAAAGATTTATCCATTGTCCACAATGATTTATATATATGAGGGAGGAAAGGCATACATTTTTATACAATGTGTTATCACTAGAGATGTTAAGAGTTTTTCACTGTGCTGAATCCTGCATGTCTGGTGTGAAGTGAATACAGCATACAGTACTTTACTAATGTACATTATGATGACCTGTGGTCACAACAATAAACCTATTTATTTACTTACTTACTTTACTAACCCTACGCAAAGGAGTTGTTAGGATTTTTCCTGAATGAATTTCTGAAGCAAAATTCTACTTCACTCATACTCAACTTAGTGTGGAATCATATATGTACCTTTTACAAAACAGAGGCTGGAGTTTCAGGTTCAGAATACTTCCAGTGTGATTGGTAGAATGTCAGTAAATGTCTGGAACAGCCCATGGAACAGGATGTTTGGGGAGCAGGATGTTTTGATGGAAAACAAGTGATAGTAAGAAGACTGTTGGTGTATGTGGTACATGAACACACTATATGCAGTTTTTTCTCTGATAAGGTTTACATAACAACATCAAATAATTTACATAACAACATCAAACAATTATTTAAGCACTAAATGAATGTAACTGTATCAACGCATAGTTCCTGCTCTTGATCTCTGAACTGACTCTCCCCCCGCCCATTAATGATTTTTTTCTTATGTTCCTATTTGGTACATGAAGATACCCAAGTAGAACTCCTCAGTCAAAACAATTTGCTTAAGAGCAAGTATTTATGTAAAAACTGTAATTCACAAAAATTACCCACTTTCATTTTTCAAAAAGAAACAGCATTTTTTATTACTTATAGTCATGAAAATCTATGAGCAGGGCTTACTGAAATTCTAGAAACTGAAGAGATAGCTGCTCAGAGATAATGCTCAGCAATTGATGGAACAAAAGCAATATAAGCACAAAATTTGAATGCAAACACACACACACACACACACACACATTGCCTGTGTACCACAAAAGTCAACATAGGCTTTTCTCCACTTAATGGACTAAACGGAACTAACATAGAAAGTCTTTATGAAGTCATTCAAATTGTGACTGCGCTCAGCAATAAATTTACAGGGAAATTAAAACATTTACCTTCCTCTTTTGTACTTCCCCATCCTGTTATATAACATGGAGTATCATTACTTAGAAAAAGAAGACTGTGAGGTAAGCAGACGGGCTGGATATAATCATTATATGTGACAGGATTTTGTAATTTAAACAATGCAACATCATTTTCATAAGTATCACTCCTGAAACGAGCATGGATTATAATTGCTTTGATATCACTCTTTATAGTGTAATACCCATGATGATAGAGATGATGCAAGCCAAATACAGCTCTCCAAAAATATGGATTCCTAGGAGAGGGGAAAAAACGATATAGACAATGTTTACTATAGAATTGCAACTTCAGTACTGCTTGAGAATTGTCATGGCATCTGTTCTGGGCAAAACTATTAAGCTTGTTACTAGACCAAAATCAGAATTAGTCATCCTTTATAGAATCAGAAATTTGATTACTGATAGGAAATCTCTGCTGAATATATCTTGTAGAAGATTTAGTCATAAGGTCCAACCTGGTTTTAAACAAGACAAGTGCAATCAGATCTGAACTTCAGCTGGCAGGGCTAAACTACCAGATCTGGGCTGTACAAATCCAATTAGAGTATTTCTAGAAAAACTCTTTATTTTGCTGTCATTTAATGGTTGTCTGCAGCCTTGATCTGGTAGCCCCAATACAAAATAATTACATTAAAACAACTGGCTCTTCTGAAAATGTTTAAAAATTATGAGAAGACGTCTTGGAATTGGAACTCAGTGGGTCAACTCAGAACACTTGACAGTACAAAATTTTCTTTAAATCTATTTTGGCAATTCATCAAAAACTAATTATAATAATAATAAATAATGCTACATTCTTAAATTTGCATTATATTAATTCTCTCTAGAGTGCATATGAGATATAATCAGATTGTTATATAGTAATATCTCTACTAGTAATGATAATTAATAAAACATTTTATTGCTCACTTCCCCCAAACTTCATTAAATTGTACAAGATAGAAATGTATTTTAGCTATTAGCTCCCAGATTTAGTGTACCAAAACATTGGAAAACTACATTATATCTTTCAGTTCACAATAGTTAAAAATGTGGAAAATAGTATTAGCTAAAAAAGCAACACAACAGTAAAGGAGTATTGTTTAATTAAGGTTTTATTCACATTTGGTGTCTATTTTTTTAGTTATATCAACAAAGTAATTTCTAACACATTGCATGATAAAGATATTCAATGTATATATTTAACATGTTGCATTTCTATGTAAGATTATAACTATTCAGTCACTCAGTTGCTTCTGACTCTTCATGTTCTTTTTTTTATTAAGAATTTTATTAAGTTTCAAACAAGAATAAAATACACAAAGACATCAAAAGAAAAGTAGAAAAATGAAATAGATAAAGAAGTGTGAGGAAGAAAAAAGGGGGGGGGAGAAAAAGAAAAGAAAACTTCCGACTTTCTTCAGTACAGTTATAAGTAAAATAATACATTAACTTCTTACTCTAGTAATATCAATAAAACACAATATTTCTATAGCAAAAACAATTCTAAATTCTAAATTCCAGTTCCAGTTGGATACCAAGCATGAGGCATGGTCTATAAAGATGTCCAGGGTACATTCTTACCCTGTTATCTGGGAACAGTTTGATCCTGTTGAACCTGAGGAAGTGGCCAGGGCCCTCTGGATGGTCAATGCCACCACCTGTCAACTAGATCCATGTCCCTCCTGGTTAGTTAAAGCTTCCCAGGAGGTGACATGTACAGTAGGTGGGTCCAGGCAATGGTGAATTCATCCTTGAGGGAGGGAGTGTTTCCAACTGCCCTTAAAGAGGTGCTGGTGCACCCCCTCCTCAAGAAGCCATCACTGGATCCCACCATACTGGACAATTTTCGATCGGTCTCCCACCTCCCCTTTTTAGAGAAGGTGGTAGCATTGCAGCTCCAGAGGATCCTGGAGGAAACGAATTATCTGGACCCTTTCCAGTCAGGTTTCAGGCCCAGATACGGGATGGAAACAGCATTGGCCACATTCATGGATGATCTCTGGCAGGAGTGGGATGGGAGTAGTGCATCCATCCTTGCTCTTCTTGACCTTTCAGCAGCTTTCAATACCATCGACCATGGTATCCTTTTGGGTCAACTTGGGGAGTTGGGAGTGGGCGGTTTTGTGCTGGTTTTCTTCCTTCCTCTAAGGTCAATCCCAATCAGTGTTGATTGGGGGCAAGAGGTCCAGCTCACAGTCCCTCCTTTGTTGGGTACCCCAGAGTTTGGTACTCTCCCCACTTCTTTTTAACATCTACATGAAACCACTAGGTGGGATCAACTGTCACCATGGGATGAGGTATCATCAATATGCTGATGATACCCAGCTATACATCTCCATCCCTGGTGAAGTAAGTGATGCCGTGACCACCCTTTCGCGGTGCCTGGAGGCTGTGGGGATCTGGATGGGGTGCAACAGGCTTCAGCTGAACCCTAGTAAGACAGAGTGGCTATGGATTGGAGGCCCCTCTGTATCCAAGGATTTACCATCTTTTGGTTTTGGATGGGGTTGCACTGCCCCAGACGGACCTGGTGTGTAATCTGGGGGTCCTCCTGGACTCATGACTCCTGCCTGAGGAACAGGTGGCAGTTGTGGCCAGGAGAGCCTTTCCCTACCTTCATGTGGTACGCCAGTTATGCCCCTTCCTGGATCAGGAGGCTCTCTGGTCAGTCATTCACACCCTAGTCATCTCTCGGCTAGACTATTGCAATGCTCTCTACATGAGGCTACCTTTGAAGAGTATCTGGAAGCTACAGCTGGTCCAAAATGTGGCCACGTGGATAATTTTGAGTGCCCCAAGAATGGCACATACTACGCGAGCTGCATTGGGTCCGAGTCTGCTTCCAGGTCCAATTCAAAGTGTTGGTTATCACCTTTAAAACCCTACATGGAATGGATCCAGGTTACCTGAGGGACTGTCTTACCCCCGTCAGATCAACCCATCCCATCCGGTCAGGCAGAGATGGCATGTTGCAGGTCCCGTCAGGGAGAGAATGCTGACTGGCAGGGCCCAGATGGACAGTCTTCTCTGCCATTGCCCCACCCTTTGGAACATTCTCCCCCAGAGATGCGGCAGGCCCCTACCTTCCTGGCCTTCTGGAAAGAATTAAAGACCTGGCTCTGCCAGCTTGCGTGGGGGGATAACAACGTTACCCAATCCTGGGGTTGGCTAGCGCCTCAATGACACTCCCTGAGTGACTGCCAATTATTTTGGATCTTTTTATTTTCTATTTATTATTGTAATTTTAATTGATTTTAATTGTTTTGTAAACTGCCAGACTCATTCAACCAGATGGGTGGTGACAAACTGGATAAATAAATAAATATCAAATCTCAAGGTCATAATTTAATTTTTTTCAGTTAAAAGCAAAAATCCCCAGAGTAATTTCTAAATAGAAACAAAGTTAAAGAAATTTATACAGACATGTTATCCCAAGGTCCTTACCAACATTTGAAGTATCAGTTAATCTATCATTGGTAAACACCTAAGTCACCTAAGTTTTCTATAACAGTAAAATCCATAAACATTATCATACAATCCCAGTCCAAAAATAAATTCCAGTACTACCAATCAAAGTTAAAGAAATTTATACAGACATGTTATCCCAAGGTCCTTACCAACATTTGAAGCATCAGTTAATCTATCATTGGTAAACACCTAAGTCACCTAAGTTTTCTATAACAGTAAAATCCATAAACATTATCATACAATCCCAGTCCAAAAATAAATTCCAGTACTACCAATCCAAAATCATAACTTGTATATTTTAACCTTGGTCCCATAAGTCCACTTTAAATTCCTTTTTATTCTTTTCAAGGAGCTTGGCATTGAATCTTTTCTCCTAGTGAAATCTCAAGTAGTAATTTCTTGTCACTTCATCCATTTTTATTATCAAAGCTGTCTTCAAAGGTTTAATAAGTCCTTCCTGCACATCCAAAAAAAGAAAAATCTCCAAAATACTCTTCTGCTTTATGGTTTGGATATTGAAGAAAAAAAATTGTTGTAAATTTGGGCTTTATAAAAAGCTCATTATCTCCAGGCTCAAGACAAACTAAATCATCTAGCCCTCCATCCAAATCCAGATCTCTTATTCCAGTTTCCTGTTCTGAAAATTGCCTTACTTCACACCATACAACATCATCAATATTATTTCCAATATCCAATTTTGTTTGCAAATCAATATCACTATCAAATCTGTCTAATTTTTTCTCAAAGTCTTCAAATTTAGTTTCTAAATTCTATCACTTGTAGAATTCTAGTAGTGAAACCTTCCATTAAATGTGTAGGTGTCTCTTTAAATTCCCTTTGCTGAACTCCAGCTATAACAAGCCATACACACAGAAAAAAAAAAATGGGTAAAAAGCAAGGTCTTAGGGTACTTTTGTTTATAAAGCTCCTCCAATCAGCATTATAGTAAAAAAAAAAAAAAAAAGCAGCTTTCCCACAAAAATCTTTAACCAGCAATCTCAAGTTCCAATCGCACAAGTACAGATTCAACAAAATTAACTTTTTAAAGTCCATAAAAAAAAAATCACCTGTTTCATAAAAACACCCAATAATTCAGCCCTTCAACTCTTTGCTCAATACATAAATCCCAAAGTCCAAATCAATTTTTTTTTTTAAAGTAAGCATTGAAAATATAAAAAACACCAAGGAAATACACTTATCTGTTGCTGAAAAAAAGCCTCTCTTCATCTAAAAGAGCAATAAACCATTTAAAATGTGTTTTAGAAATGGGGAGGTCAGTTTTAGTGTCCTAAATTTCGGTTATGCCACAGCCTCCAACAGGATGGAAAAGCCCCATCTCCCAGTTGCTCACCACAAGTCGATTACAAAGTCTTCTGCTTCAGGATCTCCTTGCAAGAAATGGCTGTCCAGTGAGCATCTGGGCTGATTTCATGGATTCTCCTTTACATATGGAGAATTATTTGGGCTACAGGGATCCTGCCCTAGCCCACAGCGCTGGTGGCATCAATTCCCAAAGAAAGGAATCAGTCAAGAGACCATTAGTCCCTCACTGGAAGTCCCTGACTCTTCATGCTCTAATGAGCATCTTTTCACCAGGATTGTCTGTTAGTAACTGCTTCAAGTTCTTGTAATCTCATGCTCATGTCATGAGTCACCTTTGCATTTGTTGGCAGTTTTTTGAAACCTTCTCCAGTTGCAGGTGATCTTCTGGACAGTAGAATGATTGATCCCCAATTGTCTGGCAATCTTTTTCAATCCCTTCCCAGACTCATAGGCATCTATAAACTTCTTTCTGAAAGCCTCAGAGAGCTCTTTTGATCTAGGCTTTATTACACCACACACTTCAACCACAAAGAGCAAGTCAAACTAAAGGTCTGAGGTTTAAATAAGTCAGGTTCCTTCCAGATCCTCTCTAATCATGTTCTAATCATTTGCCCCTGATCTGGTGCACCTGATTCTAATTTTAGGTATTGGAGGCAGTGATAAGATGGAGGGAGTGTACTTACTTTTTCCACATGGAAATTTGCCTTTATTTTTATTTAAATTACACAATGGGCTACAAAATGTAAATGGTGTATGATATTTGTTATATTATATCCCCTTTATCTATCAATATTGTTGAAATGAAGATCAAATATTTGTATGTTGAAATATGTTGAAAAAGTCAAACATTTCAATGGGGTGTACTTACTTTTTCACATGACTGTATACTATTTATTTGCAAATTCAAAAAAGGAAACAGTGAATATGGCAGGTGCAAAGATTTTTTCAGCTTTTTTTGTTCAGCTTTTTTCTCTTCCCAGCTTCAGTTTCTTCACTGACTGTGGGATAGAAGCATCTCGGATCAGCTGATGTTTTCTTGAATCCATTCTTAATTCCACCAGCACACTATTTCCTTTGCCACTTGTTGCCACAGAATTCCAAAGTGTAATAGAGCCACTTCTATTTTTCCTGATTAGCAAGGTGCTTTTTTCTTCAAATGCTTCACCCTTTTTTCTCCAAATATATCTTGAATGATTGTGGTTGAACAGTTCAAACCATTTTGTTTCATCAACCCAAAACTTTTTATTCCAAAACATTATAGGCTTGTCAACATTTTTTTTTTGCATACTTTAGACAATAACTTTTATGATGAAGTTAGAAAATGCGACCTTCTGACAACTCTTCCATGCATATTACCTTTGTATAAACAACATGTACTGTGCACCTGTGGGAAATCTTTCCAGTGTCAGCTAAACTTTTCATCAGGTCACTTACAGGGACCTCTAGGTTTTCTTTTGCAGATCTGACTTTCTTGGGGGAGCAGTTCTAGCAGAGTTTTTCCTTGGTCTTTCAGGTAATGTCCCACTCAGTGAAAAACTGAAGCTGAAAAGAGGCTGGATAATTCAGCAACAGAATTATCTGAAACAGTATCTTTAAATCAAGCGCAAAGTACTTACAGGAAAGAAAAAAGACTTTCAAACGGACTTTAAAGTCCCCAACGTGAATATGACTGAAAATCTGTGGCTAGATATCTAACATTCAGTGCATGTAAGGACACCTGCAAATATTTCTGAATTAGAAGGTGTTCTGAAAGAAAAAGTGGGAAAAAATTCCAAAAGCGAGAACCGGTATTTACAAGTAACATTTCAAAGCTGCTGTTTCTGCCAAAGGAGGTATTACACCGTACTCCCAGAAAGGTTATCCAAACTTTTGCACCTGCCATATTCACAGTTGTTTTTTATTTTGAATAACAATTACACACAAAATTGTAGAAAGATGTCATGTTTAACTTTGTAACATCCAAAGACTGTGTCAGCTTATGTTGAATTAGGAATTCATAGAAACAATCTGACCAAAAAGATCCCTAAACTTTTTCATGCAACTGTACCTTGTGATTCCACTTTCCTTTCCTGTGATTTCAATATCTTCCAGTGCTCTCCCTGAGGTATTATGTTCCTCACTCCCTCTTTTAGTGTCAGGTGTTTATATACATCATTGTTATGAACTAGTGCAGGGATGGACAGCCTTGAATTCCCTGTTTGTGGCCCTCATACCATGATTGTCAGCACAATTTCCTGCCATTTCAAAGTGAGAAGTATATGAGAATTTTAATGTGGATCCTAAACTAGGCACATCAGAGTTGTTAAAAAAAAAAAAAAAAAAAGACACCTCCCCCCCACCAATCCCCAGTCTTACCCACACATATGATTTGTACCCATCCAGCTTGTGGCTCTCAGTCTTCCAAAAATGCTAAGAGTATCTCTTGGCTACAAGAGGTTACTCATCCCTGGGCTTAGGGAGACATAGGCATAATTTTGTCCAGACAAAATATTCCTTTCCCTTAGCTGCTAATTTCTGGAATATTTTGACTGGCTGATTTCTCCTTTGAAGTCAAGCTAGCCTTGACTGATCACAAAAAGGTAAGCAATCTAGGACCTGGGTGGTATTTCAGTGGGAATCCACCAGGAAATCCCAAGGCTGTAGGCCACACTGAGAAGCCGCAAAAAAAATCCCACAAGAAGGCAATGGCAAAACACTTCCATATAGTTACCAAGAAAATTATACGGACCTGTCTATGTAATCATAAAGGGTCATGCTCAACCTGACGGAATCTTTACCATTTTTTTCTTTCCAATATCCATTTTGTCTTTTAATATCAGAAGTTGGTTGCCAAATTTCCTTTTCCAAGGTTCTATGCATGCAGCTAATTCCAGATTGAAAATCTGCCTCATTATCTGTTTTACTGTTTATTATATTCACCTGTGTGAGAAAAATCCTTAGCAAAGTGCTAGGCTCCTAATACCTAGAGCAGGGGTCGGGAACCTATGGCTCGCGAGCCAGATGTGGCTCTTTTGATGGCTGCATCTGGCTCGCTGCCAAATCTTTAATAAAAAAAATAACGGGATAAGGCTTAGAACACGTCTTCTATCCGCCGAGCGCAGGCCACGCCCTCCTCCGCATCACATCCGGCATCCTTGGGACTCACCCTACCTTGCCCCGCAGCATCCGCAGCCA